AGTGTATATAATTTTTTTTTAAGAAATCCGTTTCATTCTGATTCCGTACATACATATATATATATATATATATATATATATATATATATATATATATATATATATATATATATATATATATATACATACATACATATGTATGTACGGAATCGGAATGAAACGGATTTCTTACTAAAAAATTGAATTCACTACAATTTCATTGCGTAAGGATGAAATCATATGGTGCGGAATAGAGAATGCGTCATAGAAGCAACCAATCAATGCTTTTCGGAATAACGCAGATAACGCTGATTGGTTGTTTCTTTGACGCCTTCTCTATTTCGCAGTCCTGCGTTTTCCGCACCATGTAATTTCATCCTAAGTCCGAACAATCAATTCGGCGCGCAGTTTAACACATAAATTCACATGGAAATATTTAAATTAGATTACGATCCAGCCGTGACCGTTATAAACTTTATTTCTTATTTGTAAACTTAAAGCAATCTTATTTTATTTTATTCAATGGTTTTTATTTACAAATAGCACATAATAAAAATTAACGTGTCATTTCTCGCTGACGTTACGATTCAATATGGCTGTAATGATTACTCTTAGCGTTTTTCATTAAGCAGAACTAGTGCGCATGAACTCAATGCACTTTAAAGCCGTTGTATTTACATACAAAAATCGACATAAAGATGTAGGTATTTAATAAAAATATAGAAATGAATTAAACCGGGGAATATTTGATACATTTTATTGTATCATTTGATAAAATACACATTGGGCATTTTATCAATTGAGATATCTCACTTTTACATTTAAATTATAACAATGTACAACAGCTTTAATGTGCACTGGTTCTGCTAATAAAAAAAGGCTATTCAGACTGCTTAAATATTGAACAGTGCCGTAACCAAATAGTATGTATGTAGATAAAATTATAATTTTGAATACTCATTTAAATTATTAAAGAAAAAGAAAGTTGTAAGTATTATCTTGATATAGACAGAATGGATATAGCCTGCGCATTCCCTGACCTTAGTATTTGTGTTTCGTTAAAATGCATATTGAACTGCATCTCTCTTCAACTCGATATTTGAGTGAATGAGAAAGAAAGAGAGGACGGGGATGCGCAGATCCTAGGATGCTATTAGAATCCTTCTAAACCGATAGTGACAACTTAGAGAAAAAAAATGCACAGTCTATATTTAACCGTGTTCGAGGAGCGCGTTATCGACACTATTATGCCATTCGCATCTATCAATCATTCATTAGATATAAAATGAAAAGAGAATGATGTAGCGCTAGCAACGCGCTTCCCGAACGCAGCCGACGTTCTTTCTTCTTCTTTAAACAAATTCAAATTATATTTAAATTATATCCAAATTATATCATAAATAAATTCAAGTTATACACTTCTCTCTGTATGTACATACACGCACGTTGTACCTCGTGCTCTGTTATATTTAATGAGAGGACAGAAAAAATTGGTAAGAACACAGACAAGAATATAAGAGCGTGAATTACATTTTCTTCTCTAAAGTATAATGAAGAAAACTTGCAAAAATGAACAGAAATAAAATATACTTATTTCGATATCGTCCTATCAATATGAAAATTTCTTACAACTATACTTCCCTAAATTTCTTTTAAATGTATCAAGATTTTGAAGTAAATTGCCTTTGTAGGTAACGCAGAAAATTTCACAATATAAATGTAAATGTTACATCAATATTTATCATACCAATAAATGCGTAATTTTTTAGAATCGCTAAAAAGTGAATTAACTGCATTAAGATCACGATATGTGATATTACATCGGATTTTAACGATGTTCACTACAAAATAAAATGTTCCAAATATATTATCGATTTCAATATGTAGAGTTATCGCGTTATTACGGAAGAGAAAGAGGATAAAATTATAGCTCTAATATATTTTATGTATTATATACACATAAATACAGAGTGTCCCAGAATATTTGGTACGCTAATATCCAGATAAAGACTAAACCAAGTCGAAAAGTTCACTATCACTTTGTTGCAATTTTCGCAATAGTTAACGAGATATTGATTGTAATCATAAATAACTACGTTTATACACGGCTCAATTTACGCCAAAGTTATAACATTGATGTTATGAAATGACCAATCACAGTCATTTCATTCTTTAGAGAAATAGCTATGATTAGTCAATTCATAACATCGATGTTGTAACTTCGGCACAAATCGAGCTTTGTAAACGTAGCCAATTGCTAAAAAAACGTGTATCCGACAGGTCAAATGTTTATACGTCCATCGATTATGATGGCTAATGCCTACTGCAAACTAAATGCGATAAGTGATCAACGACAAGTGATATCCAATAAAAGCTTTGCTTTTTTTCATATGATAATACAAAGCGAAGCTCTCATTGGAGATCGCTCATCGCTTATCACGTTCAGTGAGCAGTAGGCATAAACATGCGAACAAATTGTTTACTACAAGCGATAATAGTGAATAGTTACGCATGATGATAAAAGAAAATAACTGCCTGGGCTGCGTTCAGAATTATCATCTGGATATACCCAGATGTTCTTTTATCCTTGTTTAATATTCGTGCGAACAACAAGGATAAATCGACATCTGGGTGCATCCGGACAACGATTCCGGATATCAATCATGAAATTTTATTCCTAGGAAAGTGAAAAGTGAAAAATTTCTCTATTAATTTCAATGATGAAAATTTTCACTTTTCACTTTTCATCCTAGGGATAAAATTTCATGATTGATATACTGAACGCAGCCCTGAACTGGGCGATCGTATCTCGTTCTAGCATTTGGCAGTAAACGGATGGATACATATTTAAGCGACAGTACAATGAAATTTTAAGGCCAAAATCTTAAACTTTAAGTCCTAACAAATTAACCGATTACGATAGGATGTTAGAAGCATTCTACAATAAGCCATTAGTCATAAATTAGAAGTTACAAGCTAGAAATTGACTAATTATAGTCGTCAATTTTTAGCTTCTGACTTCTTATTACTAATGGCTTATTATAGCTTATGACTTCTTATGACTAATAACTTGTTATATAGAAGGTCCATAAGAAAAATTCATTATGATTGATTAATTTCTTACGGCTTGGGGCATAAAAGCTTAAGTGTTTTGCTTTAAAAAATTGTTATAGACACTACTTAAAATTTAGCGATATTTAGAAATATCTTAACTACTGTAAAAATTTCAAAATAATAGAGGACTTTACAACTCAGCTTAATTCACTCTATCTGTACGATACAAGTTTTCCTAAATTTTCTAAGACACTCTGTGTGTGTGGGTGTGTGTGTGTGTGTGTGTGTGTGTGTGTGTGTGTGTACGCGTGCACACGACATACGTACAGGGTATCCGATAATGATCGCATAATTTCTCATGGACAAATAGAACAGATTGAACTAAATTGAAATCCTACATTTTGCACTTTTTGTAATAGTTAACGGGATATTAATTGCTAAAGGCCGAATATGTATTCGACCTATCGACAAGCACGCTACAAGATACAATCACTTAATGAGGGGAAGATATATTAATATTTTTCTTCATCGTTCGTGCGTTGCCCTTGCTACTTGTAATAAACAACTCCTTGCACGCCAAACAACTTATGATGATAGATGGTCATATATTGCCACGAATTTGTATTTGGCGGTGAGACAATTTAGAGATCTTTAGGAATTAATTTCTCGTTAACTATTATAAAATGGTACAGAACTTTTCAACTCATTGTCAATTTAGTTTGCTCTCTCTTCCCATCAGAGATTATGTAGTTAACACTCTGTATGAACACATTATTTACATGTGTGTGTGTGTGTGTGTGTGTGTGTGTGTGTGTGTGTGTGTGTGTGTGTGTACACATAATAATATATAAAATATATATTTATAGTCTTAAATTATATAGTATATACATTATATTGGGTCATCTAAAAAGTATCCGCGGTACTTTGTCACTAGATATATGACCATCACACACATCTAGTGACAAAAAACCGCGGATACTTTTTAGATGACCCAATATGTATGGTCAGGATCTAAAAAGTTGCAATACTTTTTTTAATGAGTTTCAGAATGCGACCTACTTACCGAGCAATTGGTTTTTATTTGTCGATCCACGAATAAGAACTAATCGCTCGACGAACAAGCTGCATTCCGAAACCCATTTAAAAAAAAAGTGCTGCAACCTTTTAGATCCTGACTATACACGAGTGCGTACATATATTAGCCGCGCTTTGTGTGTAATTGCAATCAAATTTCGATTGTATGTATAATGTATATGCGCGCGCGCGCGTGCGCCCGTATACTATTAGAGCAACATTGAATTATACTATACACTGCTGCTTGTTTAAGGTACAGAATTCATCCTAAAACACACAACTATATTTTCACATCGCAATGCTTATGGTGCTGCACTTCCAATGAATAATATTACAAGTGACACTTTTCGCCATTTTTCAATCAAGGGTTTTTCATATCAAGAATAATTCAATTATAACAACAATTGAATTAAGTATCTTGGATAAGTTTTTATCTACAAAGAAAATAATTTAAACACCATGCTTGCATTATGTCCAAACTATCTTCAAATTTTATAGCTATATTGTGTTAAATATATTCTTAAAAATACATTACAAGTTATATATATGTATATATGTATACACATACGTGAGCGCGCGCGCGCGCTCACACACACACACACACACACACACCACAATTTTTATCATATATATTTCTTTTAATTGAAATTTTTCAAAAATCAGCTTTATCAATCTCTTCGGAGACGAAATTAATTAGT